ATAGATGTAAGAATCGTTACCAAATCCTTTTTTTCATAAGAAACTAGAAAAAGACTTCTGAATTTTTATCTGCGAAACGAGCATTCTCAAAACTGAATGTCATATTTCTAGCGTTTGCTCTCACGAGAGACGAGATCCCTTCGATAACGATGATTTCTTCTCTTTTTCGTTCATAGTAGTAATTCCCAATATTCCAGTTGATACTCGATGGGCACAGAATGGAGTGACTGTTGCTGGAGGCAATGGAGAAGGCAGTGCCACCAATCAACTCTACTACCCTTGGGGTCTCTTCATTGATGATGATCAAACGATAGTCATTGCTGACTACTGGAATCATCGTATCATTCGATGGAAGATGGGTGATAAGAATGGACAAGTAGTAGCTGGTGGTAATGGCCAAGGAAATCGATGGGACCAATTGGATCGACCAACCGATGTACTGATTGACAAAGAGACGGATAGTCTCATTATTTGTGATTGGGGGAATCGACGAGTCGTACGATGGTCTCGTCGTAGTGGTACAACTCAAGGAGAAATCCTCATCGACAACATCTGGTGTTATGGATTGGCCATGGATGATCAGAGATATCTCTACATCTCTGACTACGGCAAACATGAAGTAAGACGATATCAAATAGGAGATAAGAATGGAACTCTTGTAGCTGGTGGCAATCGCAGAGGTGCTGGTCTCAATCAACTCAACTGTCCGACCTACATCGTTGTCGATCAACAACAGACTGTCTACGTGTCAGATTGGAACAATAATCGTGTAATGAAATGGAATAAAGGTGCAAAAGAAGGAATTGTCGTCGCTGGAGGTCAAGGACAAAGGAATGCTCTGACACAATTGTCGTCTCCTCACGGACTATTCGTCGATACATTGGGTACCATCTATGTGGCAGACTATGGGAATCATCGAGTGATGCGTTGGCCTAAAGGAGCGAAACAGGGCACTGTCATTGTGGGCGGAAATGGTAAAGGAGCCGGAGCAAATCAGTTCAACTGTCCCTTTGGTTTGTCCTTCGATCGACATGGTAATCTCTATGTCGCCGATGAAGATAATCATCGTGTTCAACGCTTTTCAATCGAATAGACTCGTCGTGATAGATTCTTTTTTCCATTCCTTTCATTTCAAATAAATCGCATTGGATTGATGAAATAAATGTCTATTCTATTCGCGCGCGCGACCAGGAACCATCCTGGTGGAGCCATGGCGAGCGTAACGCTCATGCACGCGCAGGACAGACTCATATCATTCATACCCTCCCCGTGAGAGATATGTCAATGAGTCTGAATAAGCCTGGTCGTGTGCCACAGACAACAAGACGATTCCTGGCCGAGCTTTTAGGGACTACCCGGAAGTCCTTCCTAAGAGACGAAACCCTAACCCTCAACAAACAGAACTCACCCTCGTCTCTCACTAACACTCACTTTTCTTAGTCTCACCCTAACCTCTCAATCGCACTACCTATTCTCATCTCAAACAAAAAAAAAAGAATTACTTACCGTGTCTGATGTTGGTGACGCGATGATATTGATAGCTGAAAGGAATAGAAAAAAAAATTTAATCAATGTTATTTAATGAAATAGAATGAGATGACTTACCCTAATGTTATCTTTTTCTTCATTGTTTATTCTTTAAAATAAATAAAAAGATCAAAGAAGGCCTTACACCACCATTCTTATGATCGTAAAAGAAAAAAAAAGTAAAACTAATATCTACTTTTTATTTTATTGTCTGGTTTGTTGTTGAATTGTTTCATATTGTTTGGTTGAAGCCAATCTAAAACAGAAAAGAAAAATGATTATTATTTGATTCAAAAATTTGAATGATTTTACATAGAAAATCATTCCTATATATACCTTGAAAAATCATTTTTTTCTCTCGTCGAAAATGATATACATATTTAATTGTACATGTCGATCATTGATCGTCAATGATAACAACATGAACAATGATTTATGGACGAGAGAAAGACAAAAAAGAAAAAGAAAATTCCTCTCTTCACATATATTTCTTTTTTCTTTCCTTTCTCTCTTGTTAACATAAACACATATAATGATTTATTCATGAATTTTTTTAGATTGTATCTCATTTGGAATGAAAATGAAATTGTTTTGTTTACTTTTATTAATGATAATCAATAACAACATTTATGTATAATTATTTTATTTGTTATGATAAAATACAAAATATATTACATCAAACGAACTATTAGTTAAGTAGACATACTTAATGTTAAAAAAGTTGATTCAATTTCATAGATTGTCGAAAAAAACAAAACAAATGGAAGTTTTTAAACACTTAAATTTTTACAATGATATTCTTTTTGGATGAACATATCTAAATATCAACAATATTTTAGATCAAAATAGTTCATTACAGAAGTTTGAAAAAATCTTTCTTTGTTAGGTGGATTTATTACAACAGAAAAGAATGAAACAAGATATATTCTTCTTTTGAATAAAAATTTATTTATATCGACATATCTATTCTATACACATCAAGATCAACAAAAAAAAAAAAATTAAAAAATGTATATATAATAATGTTTTTAGTGATTTGGAGAATTTTATGTTTAATGAATAATGTTGATAAATCCATGTGCACAATTAATTTAACTAATAATTAAACAACAACATCGTCAGATTTCTTCATTATTGTTATTATTTTCATCATCAACATATGATTAATAGTCCATTACTTGATTTATTATTCAATACAACTACTAAAATGAGTATGTATTTGATGACAATATTGTTATAAAGAACAAAATATTAACATATATAATTAGTATTTAATTGGAATGGAATATAAGAGAAATCGAATGAAAATTAATATTAATTTTACAACGTTATTAAATATTATTCAAGCAAGATAATTATTCAATGAAATCTATTTTACTAGTTTAAAAAAAAATTATAGCATCTGTTGAGTTACTTGTGAAAATATTCTGTTGTTAATAGACTTGAACAATGTTATTATTGGAAAAGCTAGATTTATAAAAAAAAATATATATATATATTATAAAATGATCTAATCTCACAGGTTCGATATTTTTTCTAAGACTTTACTGGTCATATACTTAAGAAAAAAACTATGTATACTTTTTCTACAAACATTGTTTGATTGTTCGATACGATAGCAAAGTCTGAATATGAACTTACTTCTCAATAATCAAACAATAGTTTTGAAAAAGAAAGTATACATTTTTTTCTACTTGTTGTTTATCAGTCGAAAAAAAACCATTAGAAAAAATATATATCGAGCCTAACGAGATTTAATATTTTTGATGTATTTCAGTTTTCGTAGACTATAATGAAATTCTTCTCGTACTAAATTGTCGGACACTGTTCTTCATTTTCGAATGAACTATTTTTTTCTAATAGATTTTAGAAAATTTTATGCTAAAACAATGGATGTGATTCATACATTAGATTTAAAAAAAATGAATACTCGTTATTATACTTATCATAAGGTAATTTTATTTCATTGAATGATAATGTAAGAAAATAAAAACTATTTTCAAATAGATTCGTAAACATAAAACTCAATTAGGTAAACAATATTTTTTTGTTGCATTATCATGATATGACCTATTCAACGTTTACTTAAATCTATATCAACAGCATATATTGATTATCAATTATTAATTAATTCAGTGGATTAACCGTATTGATAATTGTCGAGTAAGAAAACGATTTCGACAGTATTAAGTATATTGTTGCTAAATTTTAGTCAAAATTCCTTGATGCACATCGTGATTATATAGAAAAATTTCAATTTATTGAACTTTCACAGAAATCAACAATAATACGAACACATTTAATTCGTTTATTCTTTTCTTCGACTGTCTTGAATATATGTGGGAAACATTCGGTATAAAAACATATTATACTTATTCAATTAAGGGATATTCAAAGTTTATTTGATATTAATCCATTATCATTAACAATTGATGATACTATTATTGATTGTTTTTGTTTTTGTTTTTGTTTTTTTTTGTGGAACGCACATCTTTTTTTGAAGAAAAATAGAGTGATTGTAAGTTTTAAAGATATATGAGACGAAAATTTGGAAGTTTGTCAGATTCGTATTCATAATATTCTCATTAGAATTTATTTCACATTTTCTCAAGGCATCTTGTTGGTGATCATTTATGAATGTGGTCATTATAGACTTTCACTTAAATAGTAGCAACTATGAGAAAAACCGGTGGTTCCAACTGCAACTGAAAGTTATAGTTAAATATTCTACGACTTTAAGCGTATAAATTAAAAAAAATACTGAAGACGTTTTTAGATATGATAAGATTCAATTCTGGAATAGTTTTCTCTATACCAGTACCCACATCCTTTTCGAGCATCGCGAAGGAAACTCATCCAAAAGAAGTTAAGAGACTCAAAAATGAAAACATATGAAAATCATAGTAACTTTAAAAGCAAAACTGACTAAAATTCGATTTCTCTTGATCCCTCATAGTCTGGTAGAAATTTTTCATTTCAAGTATGTTGTATGAGTATAATGAGACTAAAGAATACATGTAAGTTTTACATTATAATCTTCAATGAGTTGCATTGACACAATCTCTATGTTTTATTTAAATAAAATTTTTTCTAATTAAAGAAACTAAACAATTTGGAATACTTTGTTCAATTGATGGTCATACATGTATCTTCATCGTTATCATTGATTTCAACATCATGAAAATAATAAAACCGATGAATTTTATCAGTTAACTAAAGCAATTTTCGGTTGCTCAATATTTAATTGATAAAGTAACTTAAAAAAAACTGTAATATTCAATTTTTATTTCAGTTTTCACTTATTATATGTTTAAATTTTAGTGGTCTTCATAAAGGAAAGAAACGAGTAAGTGGAACTTTTTTTATTTAATTTAGAATCTAATAAACATTTAACAAAAAAAAAATTAATTGTTCAATTCATTTATTAGAACAGGAATGGTCGAATAGTTTCGATTCAAGTAAACAAATGAATGTATGATCAAAAGACAAGTAAGTATTTCAAATGAGAATTTTTCATAATTAAACTAAAAATATTCAGAAAATTTTGACTCATTTAACAACTGAAACGAATCGAAAATGCGTGTGCTCATAAAGTTCTGATCTACTAGTGAAACTCGTCGTGATATCTCATTTACTATCAAGTCAAAAGTTTCAAACACATTATTTATTCTTTCTTGTTGTCTATCTTGTTTTATAAAAACTTATGAAATAGTTCAGCGACTGAATATTCTGATTGGTGTTTTTTTTTCGTTGTTTCGACTGTAGTGATATATTAAATCATGAGAAAAAATAAACTAAATAAGAATTATTGTTAGGTTTAATAAGCGTAGCTACAAGGAAAATAAAAGTGACTTCTACTGAATTACTTTTAAAGTAATTCAAAAACTAACTGTATTGAAGCTCAAATACAAATTTCATAGATGAACAACTCAATAATCATCTCTAAAGTTATCAAGATAACGTAGGATACAGAAGCTTTGACACTAATTATTCCTTGATGTAGTGCTAAGTTAAACTTGCATTAATTGATGTTTGTACTAAACAAAATCAATATTTTCATCATTCATAACGTGTTTAAATTGATGATGCAACAGATTTTCATTCTGTCTTCTGCTATGTAAATATATAATTAGATAAGAAATTCTGTACAACTAACTTCATGCTATAAAGTTAGGTTTTGAGTTGAAAAAGAAAAAAATGAGCCAAATGAAATTTTTGTATCGATTTCAGTCTGGAGTTGTTCCAAACATCTACTTATATTATAAAAAGTTTGAATTAGAAATAACTCATGAACACATATTTTCGAAATTTATTGTTTTACCCAATAAATATCCAAAACAGGAAGGAATATTTTATTATAACACTTTACAGTAGAAGTCATGCTGAAATAAATACCTGTATCAGAAAAATTAGTATAAAGTACCTGTGGGAATCTTTCGTTTTTCTTCAATGTCATTTGTATGCCAAATTTAGTATAATAGTTTTGGTGCAAGAAAGTACTCGGTACTTATCTCAAGAAAAATCTTAGTATTCTTCGAGAAAAGAACTCCAAATGTTTTGATATTC